ATTACCAGTAATCACATGTACTAACAATTATATTGATCAGTAAATGTTCTTATAAGTATCTCCATAAAATGTTCTTATATTATCAGTAAGTGTCTGCATAATAGGCCTTTGTTTAATGTGTCTCGGGGACTGAGGTGATAAATCCTGACCAGGCCAGTCTCGGGGACTGAGGTGATAAATCCTGACCAGGCCAGTCTCGGGGACTGAGGTGATAAATCCTGACCAGGCCAGTCTCGGGGACTGAGGTGATAATCCTGACCAGGCCAGTCTCGGGGACTGAGGTGATAAGGAGCCAATGACGTCTTCGAGGGACGAGTCCTGATCTTCAGCACATTTATAAAACTGTATTATGTAGAAATTGTGAACGAGTCTGGACAAGGGACCTGCAGTATAAAGTCAGAGCGCCTGACTTTATACTCATATATAGATTGGAGAGGGAGAGCTAACTTTAAGTCCAGACCGCTGTTTAGACTCTTTGTATCAGGGAATAAACTTTTTGGATTTAACTTTTCGAATACTGGTCATCTTTATATGGGATTTTGAACACTTCATTTTTTTACAATAAGACCCAGGACTGAGACTAGACCCAGGACTGAGACTGTAGACCCAGGACTGAGACTGTAGACCCAGGACTGACCCAGGACTGAGACTAGACCCAGGACTGAGGACTATAGATCCAGGACTCACCCAGGATTGTAGACTAGACCCAGGACTGAGACTGTAGACCCAGGACTGAGGCTGTAGATCCAGGACTGAGACTGTAGACCCAGGGACTGAGACTGTAGACCCCAGGACTGAGGCTCTGAGTCCAGGACTGAGACTGATAGTCCCAGGACTGAGACTGAGACTGAACGATGCTTTCTTCCCAGACCCGTGTGGTCCTAGTGTGTCAGATTGTAAACTGTTTAGTTGTTCTTATTATGAACTTCTGTCCTCTATTCTATTGTTGTTCCTCATGTGATGTCATCTGCTCAAGTCTCTGGGTTGGTTTGGGGTGGGGTGCTCTGTCGTACTGTAAACCTGATTTTCCTCTTTTAAATCCACTCTAATTGTTGTATGAGTTTCTTGTGGACTTTGACTATTAATTGTAAAGCTCCAGGTCACAGAATGATTAACGCTGGTTTTCGACGGTGAAGGCTTTAAACCTGCAATAAAAATATGGAATGGATCTGTTTTCGTGAGGCTTGTGTCGAGCTGATGCCAGAAAACTGTAAAAAATATGACAGTTTTGAAAATAAGTATAGACACTGACAAACACACACACACACACACACACAACCTGGGGAATTCACTGAGGAGGCCAGAGAACACACACACTACAGTAGGTATCGAGTTAGCAGCAATACTTACTCTACAGAGTACTCGCAGCAGCACATAACATACATGACAGTAGTACTCGAGTAGCAGCAGCACATACATAGATGACAGTATTTACTCGAGTAGCAGCAGCATCATACATAGATGACGTATTACTCGAGTTCGCAGCTAGAAATACATAGATGACCGTAGTACTCGAGTCGCAAGCGCACTACATAGACGACAGTAGTAACTCGAGTAGCCGCAGGCACATACATAGATGACAGTAGTACTGAGTCAGCAGCTAGCACATTACATAGATGACAGTAGTACTCGAGAGTAGCATGCAGCACATACATAGATGACAGTAGTACTCGTAGTAGCCAGCAGCACATACATAGATGACAGTAGTACTCGAGAAGCAGCAGCACATACATAGTGTAGAATGGATTGTTCTAAAACACTTGTTATTGTTAGAGAAAATGAAAGATTTAGATTTGATAGATTCTATGAATGCAGAGAAATGTGTTGAATAAAGACTGAACCAGAAGCAACAAAAGTCATTCTACAGAAAGAAGTTTACTGTGGATTTGAATCAGACACACAACAACAATGAAGACAGTGTCAAAGGTACTGTAGTGTTGTGTGTGGGACGTTTGGACACACACAGACACACACACATAGACACACACATAGAGACACACAACAACAATGAAGACAGTGTCAAAGGTACTGTAGTGTGTGTGTGGGACATTTGGACACTGTTGTCAAAAAGATTTGACTGACGTGTTCAGAATTTGGTACAGAAATAAGGCCAAGATTTGCAAGAGTTAAAATAGAACATTTATTTCTCTTTACAATTAAATGTTGATACAAAACTCTTGGAGCCTAAATCTATCCCTGTGCTCAGACTGCCCACAAATGTGTCCTCCCAACAGTTTTATCAGAATGTCCGATGACGTCATATGGTCTGAGGCTGGTCCCAGTCTGGACTGGCCTTGTCTGGTTTTGTGTCTCAGGCCTTGTCCCGATAAGAAGAGAGACACGCTGTTCCTGAAGATTATACTTTTATCACAGAAGCCTTGTCCTTGGTGCTTCTCTGAATTCCACTAAATCCAGGCTTAAAGACCTTATGACGTTGATTTATTTAGAAATACAGTTTTAATACCATTTTATATTAGAAGAGAACTACTAAAGGTTTCAAAATCAGTTGTTGTTTTTTTTGTCTGATCCCCCCAAATCGAGATAACCCCATAGCAACGCCCTTAGAAACGAAAAAACTTCACAGCCCTTGGTGACGTCAGAGTGGGTACGTTTCAAGCTGTAAGTTGTTTACAATTTGGTATTCGTTCTTTTTTTTCGCGGATATTCAAGATGACAAGACCGTGTACAGCGAGTCTGACATAAATACTAGATTATAACACTTCGTTGTCACTGAGATAGTCCAGTGGTTGTGTCGATGGACTGCCAATCCAGATACTTGGGTTCAAATCCCCCAGAACAAATGCCCCCCCACCCAAATAAAAACAACTATTGTTTGTGACTCTTCTGTGAAAGATTACTTACTTACACACACATAGACACACACAAACACATCAACATACACACACTCAAATACTGACATCCACAATCACATACACACTGACACACACCCGCACACACAGTAACGCATAGAAAAAAACACACACCCATGCACACACAACCCTAGACATACTGACAAACTGACGCACACACAGACAAACAAACAGTGTTGGTTCAGGTACTTTGAAAATGTAATTAGTTACAGTTACTCGTTGCTTCTTTAAAGTAAATAGTTACATTACTTAATGACTTCCCAAAGAAAGTATCCAAGTTACATTACTTTTGGATTACTATTTGTTACAAAAAAGAAAAGATTAAATCTGGTTGTTTTCCTGAGAAAACAGATGATGTATAACATGCCATGGAAGCCCATTACCATCAATGCTGCAAGTTCATAATAATGAGAAGAAGATTAGAAAATCATTTTAGGGAACGACGACAATGGACTGAACAATAGTGTGTGTCTTTATCTATGTGTGTCTATATCTGTGTGTGTCTTTATCTGTGTGTGTCTTTATCTGTGTGTGTCTATATCTGTGTGTGTCTTTATCTGTGTGTGTCTTTATCCGTGTGTGTCTTTATCTGTGTGTGTCTATATCTGTGTGTCTTTATCTGCGTGTGTCTTTATCTGTGTGTGTCTTTATCTGTGTGTGTCTTTATCTGTGTGTGTCTTTATCTGTGTGTGTCTTTATCCGTGTGTGTCTTTATCTGTGTGTGTCTATATCTGTGTGTCTTTATCTGCGTGTGTCTTTATCTGTGTGTGTTTTTATCTGCGTGTGTCTATATCTGTGTGTGTCTTTATCTGCGTGTGTCTTTATCTGTGTGTGTTTTTATCTGCGTGTGTCTATATCTGTGTGTGTCTTTATCTGTGTGTGTCTTTATCCGTGTGTGTCTTTATCCGTGTGTGTCTTTATCTGTGTGTGTTTTATCTGTGTGTGTCTTTATCTGTGTGTGTGTTTATCTGTGTGTGTGTTTATCTGTGTGTGTCTTTATCTGTGTGTGTCTTTATCTGTGTGTCTTTATCTGTGTGTGTGTTTATCTGTGTGTGTCTTTATCTGTGTGTGTCTTTATCTGTGTGTGTCTTTATCTGTGTGTGTCTTTATCTGTGTGTGTTTTTATCTGTGTGTGTTTATCTGTGTGTGTTTTATCTGTGTGTGTTGTATCGGTGTGTGTGTCTTTATCTGTGTGTGTTTTATCTGTGTGTGTCTTTATCTGTGTGTGTCTTTATCTGTGTGTCTGTGTTTATCTGTGTGTGTCTTTATCTGTGTGTCTTTATCTGTGTGGGTCTTTATCTGCTTGTGTCTTTATCTTTGTGTGTGATAGTTAAAATAGTGTATTTTTTATCTTGTATGATTTTGGTAACAAAGTGTTGCCATAGTAACTGTAACATTCTTACACATATTCTCCTAAAACCACGACTAAGTTTCTCATAATATAATGTTGTTACATCTGCCCCCACTTCTCTCTTACCCTCGGGCGAGCTGGTCAGGGTGAATGTCTCGTTCTCTCTAATGGTGCGTTCAGACCAAACGCGATTTCTGCGGCCAAAGCGGCGGGTCTACATTGACACAACATGGGGGACGCGCGCCAAGGAGCGGCGAGAGATCACGCGGCGCGATTCGCGCGGCCAGAGCGGCGCGAATTCGAGCGTTTTGCGCGATTCGCACGGCGTGTTTTGAGATGTCAAGCGTTTTGACGCGCGTTTCGCGCGATTCGTGCCTCCAACGCGGCCGCCACTAGAGTTGAACAATGTTGAACTTTTTGGGAGAATTCGCGTGTGCCGACCAATCAGGAGCTTTCTCCTACAGTGACGTAGTGACGCATTTCACTACCGGAAAAACACTGGTAGATGACAGCTATGGAGAACACGTCAATTGCTCAGGTCGGTGCTCATTCTGAGCTATATAACACTGCGGACCACAGCTACCGGGACCGAAATAAAAAGGAGCTTGCTTGGAGGAGGGTTAGCGAGGTGGTTGGTGTCTCGGGTAAGTTATTTTAACTTTTCAATGTTGTAAATATTTCCCCGCGAAAAAAACTACTACTTTCCCGCTTACGAGTTGATGTGTTTATTCAGTGGAAGTTTGCAAAAAGCGGTGGAAGAATCTGAGGGACACATATGCTAAGGAGAGCAGGAAGGAGAAGGAGAAGGTGAAGAAGAGTGGTGCAGAAGCAGGGAAAGGCCAGACGTGGAAGTACCTTGTGGTCATGTCCTTCCTCGAGCCCTACATCACTCCCCGTGACAGCTCCGGGAACATGCCAAGGCGAAGGGCCGAGGAGGAGCAGACCTCAGGGTACAACCACCCAGAAGAAGAGCCAGAGGAAGCAGCAGCAGCAGGGCTGTCAGGTGCTGAAGGTCGGTGTCATGCAGCAAACAGAGACCTCCAACAGTTGGAAAAAATACATTTCTTTCCTTTCTATTACCCACATTTTGCTGACTTTTACATTTATATTGCTTTCTGTGTATGCATTTCTTTTAATGCTTTCTTAACATCATGGCCAGGTGAAAATAGGCATTGGCTATTTTCAAACCAGGATAGATCTTGATCATGTGTTGTGTTAAATTTCACTTTTCCCTTTTATATGAACAAATCATTTAAATGTACATAATAATGTACATATAAATGTCATAAGCGCAATGTACACATGATATGAAATAACACAAAATGTACATTTCATTTATTTTTCATTGTTTGTTCCCTTTTTATAAAGAAAATATTTTTCAAACCTCATGTGTTCTACTTCAAGCCAACCATTACTACCTTTCATATAATACTGACAGAAAATGCTATTCTATATTTGTACATTTACTTTTATAAGAGCTGACTGGGTTTTATAGAAGATGAAATAACACTTAAAGAGCGATACAGTAGTTGACAGTATTTTTTATTCATTTCACCGTTTACTGTTTTAACAACCTTGTAATTACGGAAAAGCTTGAATGTGCATATGATTAACCTGAAGTTGGAGTGGAGTCGCAGTGGAGTCTGGCAGTCATTACCTAGAAACAGAAGGTATACAGGTGAATAGAACAGTGCAAATCAATATGGGTTTGGACTATGGCCAGAAAAAATGTAAAGAATTTCATATTCAAGAGGCTCAGCACATTATATGTTAGGCTCTGAAAAGAGCCGTTGTGGGTCAGTCTTGTGGTGGACATGACTACTCTGTGGGCTGCCACGGCAGTGCTCCCTCCTCACTGAAGTGGGCCATGAACACTTTCCTTATGTCCACTGCTTCTCTGGTCGCGTTGTTGGCGGCCATCCGCTGCACGCCTGGAAGTGGTTCTTCACCGGCAGCAGCTCCCCTCGGTGCAGGAACCTGCCCATCTCCAGCCATCCTCATGGCTGGAGATGGGCAGGGAGCATTAAATTGCGGCGCAGTGGAAAGGCCTCATCTGCCACGAACACATGGGGCTGGGGTCCTCTGTGGTCAGCTCCAGGTATGCACTGGTCAGGAGGCAGGTCGAGTGTGCCCTCGCGCAGAGCCTCACCAAAGGCAGAGTTGGACATGATGCCTCCATCGCTGGATCTGCCGTACCCTCCCACATCAATCACCCTGAACCTGTACTGGGCATCCACTACAGCCAGGAGCACAAGGGAATGGTGCCCCTTGTAATTAAAAAACATGGACCCAGAGTTGGGGGGTGCCTTCACAGCCACATGCTTCCCATCAATGGCCCCACAGCACAGAGGGAAGTTCCATCGGACCTCAAAGTCCTGCGCTATGGACCTCCACTCCTCTGCTCCAGGCACAGCCATGAACTCCTCCACGAGGCAGTCCCAGATGGCTGCCACCACATCTGGGATGAGCATGGAGACGGTGGATATGCCCACTCTGAAGCTCCCCGCAATGGTCCTGTAGGAGTCCCCAGTGGCAAGAAACCTGCAATTACAAAATGATATGAACATATTTATCACAATTACATTCATAAAAATCACGTGACAAAACTTGTGTAGCATAAAATACGTTAAACTAGTAGACTGTAAACATCATAGACAGTAAATCATAGACACCATATTGTTGCATAATACTGTTTTCTGAGCTATTACATTGTGGATTGTGATTGAAAAATGACACACTTTGTAAGTATTTATGAATTCTGAATGGGGTAAAAAACACTAACCGCAGACAGATGGACAGGCGCTCTTCAGCTGGAATAGAGCGCCTGTAGTTGGTGTCCTGGTAGGTGATCCTAGCGCCAATGCAGGTCAGTAGGTCGTCAAACTGAGCCAGGGAGAGACGAAAGTACCGCTGAAAGCGACCCTCATCCGAGCGCAGCTCCCGGAGCAAATGGTGAAACTCACCAAACTCCAACCGTCTACGGACTATCTGATTAATCCAGACACGTCGTCGATTCGCCCTTTGACGACGTTGTCTGGCTTTATTTATCAGATAAAGCAACTCCTTCGCTGACATCCATGTTGGGAAGCTACAGGCAAAAGAGACAAGCCCCGCCCCTAAACGCTCTCAACGCTCTGTGACAGCGGCTGCCCTCTAGTGTCCTGGCCGCGCGGCCAAGTTTCTCTGTGACAGCGGCTGCCACAATTTGTCACAAGCGGCCCAAGCCGCGCGATAGACGCGATTTGGCCGCAGAAATCGCGTTTGGTCTGAACGCACCATAAGTGACTGCATTTCCTCATCCATTGCTTGGATCCACTCTCTGGATCTTTCTGAGGCTACTACTTCTGTAAAAGAGACAGGTATGTTCCCAATAACTCCATAGCAGTAATCAATGTTACTCTGGACTTGATCCGTCTCAGTTTTTGGAATCTCTTTCAATTCTGCTCGTAGAAACAGGCACAGTAATAAACTCTCTGGAATCCTCCAGAGATTCTAGCCAGGGCTATACTGTATCTAAGCACTGTTTCATGCTCTCTCCCGGGGAGAGTCGTGGGAAATGCGCTCTGGTTCTCTGGCTAGCCAGGGCTCAATATAAGCCCGGTTTTTGAGGCTCTCTCCCTTGGCTGGCCCAAGACCCGGGGAGAATCCTCCAGAGATTCTCCCTGGGTCTTGGGCCTTTATTCAAGCCCGGCTTCATGCGCTCTTCTTCGGGAAGACCCGTGGTATGTAGCTAGACAACTTAACCGAAAGATATGGAGGAAACAAACTGCATTCCAGTCATGCCATTACGCTCAATCAACGTGAGGTGCGGCGCTGAACAATTTATTACCAGCCCATCAGGAAACAGGAAAAGAAAAGGTGTTTTCCAACATAAATACAGAGTAAACATTCATAATAATAAGATTAATTATAGAGAGAGCACCAACTCAACACCCCCACTTGCTCTTTAGTCATTTCAAAATATAAATGTGTCAATCTTTGTCAACTTAAATTTTGTTGCAGGTTTGGTCAAATCTGCGACCATCTGCTCAGTAAGACAATACTCCAGGGATACTGTCCCCTCGTTCAATAAGGAGCGTATGAAATGGTACTTTATGTCCACATGTTTACACCTCTGCCTACTGACAGGATTCTTAGCTATGGCCACAGTCCCTTGGTCGTCCTCATACGCCTTGGGTAATGTATATTGAGTGTTATCCATGCTCTCCAAAAGTTGTTTGAGATACAGGCATTCTTGGACAGTGGCAGCAAGTGCAATATACTCTGACTCACAAGTGGACAATGCTACAGTTAGCCCTTCAGTTGTTATTTTTTGGGGCCTTTGTCTCTCGTTCCACACAGAGATGGGAGTGAGGTCGCCAGTCCAGGAGGCACATGCCAGACGTATTGTACATGTTTTTAGTGGTAGGGGAAACCAGAGCACCTGGAGGAAACCTATGATTAATTTCGGGAGAGAGACTGGAGGTGACAGATGACCCTCTCTCTTCGTTTCATGTTTGTCTTGAGTATTTCCAATAACAGTTGTTGAAAGTCGTTACATTAAGCATAAAGGGATTGGCGGCCGGGAGCGGAGGTCAGGAAATGTAATCCTCTGATGACGGTGGGGGCTCACATTTGGCTTTGAAGAGACCGAGGCTGCTGCCGATCCTGTTAGCTTCCATTTGCTTACCGCTGCAGAGGCGGGCAGACTGTACGGAATGATAAGGCGCGGGATGAGGCCTAATCTTCCCATTTCTCTCCCGTCTTTGCATCTAAATCTCTGCTAAAACCACCGCTATCGTCTACTATCAGCGGGAACTCTACCGGGAAGCTCATAAATGTTCTTACGGGTGAATCTGTGTACGTCTAAAGCGGTTTATCGCAAAGAATGTGCCTCCCACAATCCATCGGAGGTCGGACAGTGACGTTGCTGCTCTCACACCTGATGTGTCCTGCAGGAGACGTTTAGGACACTTTGGACACCTCCGGCACCGCAAAGAATGCACCAACTTCAACCTGCATTTAAAGTAGCAATATGTAAGATTTTCATGTCAAGTCATCATTAAAGGGCCCTAATCTGTCATCATTAAAAGGGCCCTAATCTGTCAAAAGGCAAAAATAAAACATGTTCGTTTCCAAAAATGTTTTACCTGAAAACAGTAGCTCAGAAATATTTGAATTTCAACATTAGTTTTCTAGCCTCTTAATCTTTTTATTGTTTTCATTTCGATGTCCCGCCCTCCACCGTTTCACCAATCAGAAAGTTTGTGATCCGGGCGCCAGAACTCACCGTGTGGAGCTAATCTCACTGGTAAAGTACCATGTGGCGCAGAACTAAAAAAGGTCTCGTTATGATTCTCAAATCATTAACGTCAAAACAAGGAATAAAAGCAGGATTTCTATCTTTGTGAAAAAGGTGTTGGTTATAGATTTGTTGTTGACAAAACTCTTGTCTATTCAGCTGTTATGGTCCCAGCTGGATTCGTCTGCATATCTGGCAACCTGAGTCAGGGAGAGTGGGAGAGGCTGCAGTGAAAGTGGAATCTGAAACTACAACTTTGTGTGGTTTCGTTTGGACAAAGAAGTAGAATTGCTCTTCTATGTAACTGCTGAAGCTCAGGATCCGCCGCCATTGTTGTTTACGTTTGTTCTACCGTGTGTGTCACATGTCCGGGGAGGGAAGTGGTGATGGCATCGCAGCCAGAGAGACTTTTGTTCACACACTTTTGTTCACACACTTTTGTTCACACACTTTTGTTCACACGGTCGTTCCACTCTGGAGCCAGTTTCTCAAATCTTGTGTTTCCACCATGATACACATTCGACGTGTGATCAAATGGCCAGAATCAGCTCCATCGTCAGGACCTTGGTCTTGTCTTATCTCTTTCCATTGATGTTTGCTTAGTGTGTGTGTGTCTGTGTGTGTCTGTGTGTGTCTGTGTGTGTCTCTGTGTGTGTGTTTTTTCTTATTAGCGTTTTTTTCTCCTGTGAATAATTTTGAATATCTTGTGCATGTAAATTATAAATGTTTGGAACAGAAAGAGCAGAAAGATTAACAGAAACTACTATTGGAAACTTGTTGTAAAGCAAATACTGGCACTTTTACAGTCATCTCAACGTATGTGCATTGTCCCTATTTAAATAAACAAATAATTATTATTTTTTTTTTTAAACAAAACGCTTGCGCTAAGTGCCCTGAAAATATGAGACAGGCTTGTTCTCTGACAATGTTTAAATCCAGGTTAAAACAGTATATTTTTGTCTTTCTTTTAAATACAATGTGATCATTGATGATTGTAATGCTATCTTATTCAGCACTTTGAGTTGTCTTGTGTATTATTTGGGCTATAAAAATAATCTTTCCTTGCCTTGAAGCCAAATGTAGGAGTTTGGGTGAGATGTAGTTTGAAGTGTCTGCCACTGGAGGGCGCTAAATCCAATGTTCTCCACAAAGCGCTTTTCATACAATAACTAACTCAAAGTGCATTACAGTCGATGATGTAAAGAAAGTACGTCTAAAATCAAGATAAATACATAGAATAAGTAAAGTACAGTAATATACACGAGTAATAATACACAGTACAAAGTAGTAATAATATTAATATTCTTTCTCCAAAAGTGAAGCGTCTGGATTGACTTGTGACTGACACTGACCCGGCCCAAAAGTGGTTGGACTGGTTCTGAACAATGCAGAAGAAAGTCTGTGTTCTTAAGCTTTGTACATGTACTCTGGTATTATGTTAGAGTAAAGTTACTATCTTTGTATGTGCTGCTGCTACTCGAGTACTACTGTCATCTATGTATGTGCTGCTGCTACTCGAGTACTACTCTCATCTATGTATGTGTTGCTGCTACTCGAGTACTACTGTAGTGTATGGATGTGCTGCTACTCGAGTATTACTGTAGTATAAGTGCTTTACTGACCGCCGACGCTGGAACGCTGACGCCTCGCGCACCAGACGCACATTCTCTAATTTTCAGACGCTTGTCCAAGAATGCAGCTCTGCAGCGTCTCTGTGTCTGAGACCTTCACAGACTTTATATAACAGCAGTATGTGTTCATACTAGCTTTCTTTATGATGCTAAAGCTAGGGATATCAATCCGTGTATCATCAGTTCGTTTTAATTGGATCCACAAAAAAAATAAAAAATCTCAATCTTGTATTAAATTCAAATATTGAGAATCAAAAAAACATCCCTCGTTTTTGGTTTTTTCAATTTTGGTTATATTTAGAAAATCAAAAGAACGGATGATTCACAAATTGTTATCATTTCATTTTAGTATGGAGTCATTGTTCATTTATCTCCTCATTCCCACTGTTCTGTACCCGGTGAAGTAACACTGACATTTTCCCCACAGTGGGACGAATAAAAGAACTTTCCATCGGCTCGGGACAAGGTCGGATTCTTTGTCGGGGAATCGGGCCCTCGGTGAATATGAAAGGAAAGTGCTATTAGAGTCTGAGGTCCTCCCAAAGGGCCGCTCTGTCCCTGCACTCCGGCTAATCTACCTGATGGGAGCCATGCGAGAGGGAAAATGGCAGATTTCTAATTTAGGCAGAAGTGGATTTGACAGACTCTGACCTTTCGCGGGCAAGAAGCTCTTAAACACTCTTCCAGGGTTTGGGAGGAAAAGGAGTCATTTAAACTAATGTCTGACAGCCGCACTCACCAAATCCAATATAAAAGAAGGTCACAGTCTCTGCAGGTTGGAGCGAGCCCGCCACAAGAGAGAGCAAAGGGAGAGACAAGAGAGAGAGAGCAGAGAGGCAAGAGAGAGCAGAGGGAGAGACAAGAGCGAGCAGAGGGAAAGGGAAAGGAGACAAGAGCGAGCAGAGGGACAAGAGAGAGCAAAGGGAGAGACAAGAGAGAGCAGAGAGTGAGACGAGAGAGCAGAGCAAGGACAGAGAGAGCAAAGGGAGAGACAAGAGAGAGCAGAGAGTGAGACGAGAGAGCAGAGGGACAAGAGAGAGCAAAGGGAGAGACAAGAGAGAGCAGAGAGTGAGACGAGAGAGCAGAGGGACAAGAGAGAGCAAAGGGAGAGACAAGAGAGAGCAGAGAGTGAGACGAGAGAGCAGAGGGACAAGAGAGAGCAAAGGGAGAGACAAGAGAGAGCAGAGAGTGAGACGAGAGAGCAGAGGGACAAGAGAGAGCAAAGGGAGAGACAAGAGAAAGCAGAGGGACAAGAGAGAGCAAAGGCAGAGACAAGAGAGAGCAGAGAGTGAGACAAGAGAGAACAGAGGGACAAGAGAGAGCAAAGGGAGAGACAAGAGAGAGCAGAGAGTGAGACAAGAGAGAACAGAGGGACAAGAGAGAGAAAAGGGAGAGACAAGAGAGAGCAGAGAGTGAGACGAGAGAGCAGAGGGACAAGAGAGAGCAAAGGGAGAGACAAGAGAGAGCAGAGAGTGAGACAAGAGAGAACAGAGGGACAAGAGAGAGCAAAGGGAGAGACAAGAGAGAGCAGAGAGTGAGACAAGAGAGAACAGAGGGACAAGAGAGAGAAAAGGGAGAGACAAGAGAGAGCAGAGAGTGAGAGACAAGAGAGAGCAGAGAGTGAGACAAGAGAGAGCAGAGAGTGAGAGACAAGAGAGAGCAGAGACAGACAAGAGAAAGCAAAGGGAGAGCCAAGAGAGATATGTGTGAGAGAGCAAAGAGAGAAACAAGAGAGAGACCAGGGAGAGCAAAGGGAGAGACAAAGAGAGAGAGCAGAGGGAGACAAGAGAGAGAGAGCAGAGAGTGAGACGAGAGAGAGAGCAGAGAAAGAGACAGGAGAGAAAGCAGAGAGTGAGAAAGAGAGAGCAAAGGGCAAGATAAGAGAGAGAGCAGAGAGTGAGACAAGAAAGAGCAGAGGGAGAGACACGAGAGAGAGCAGAGGGAGATACAAGAGAGAGAGCAGAGTGAGACAGAGAGGAGAGGGAGAGACAAGAGAGCACACTGTCAAATGTGTCTTGATATTGTTCGTAGATTGATTGCATCGGGGGCGACAGTGGTGTTGGCCTTTGGGTCTGAAGGTTGTGGGTTCTATCCCCCCACCAGACCTACTCCAACTGCCCCCAGTCATGTTTACTGTCGTTGCTGAACCCCACGCTTTTTTTGTTGCTTTTTCTAGTCCAGTCGACATGCCTAAATATCCTCTGTCGTTAAAATATGCAAATTCACAAAAACCGCTCCGGCCGCGTGTCACCTGATACAGACGTGGGACGATTTGAATTATGACTCTTCCTGCCTCATTCCGTGATCAAAAAGAAAATAAGTCCCTGTGAACTTTTAGAACGTTACTTTTAGAACGGTTACTTTTATTACTTTACTACTCTACTTCACTCTACTCTACCCTACTCTACTCTACTCTACTCTACTCTACTCTACCCTACTCTACTCTACTCTACTCTACTCTACTCTACTCTACTCTACTCTACTCTACCCTACCCTACTCTACTCTACTCTACTCTACTCTACTCTACCCTACCCTACTCTACTCTACTCTACTCTACTCTACCCTACCCTACTCTACTCTACTCTACTCTACTCTACTCTACTCTACCCTACTCTACTCTACTCTACTCTACTCTACCCTACCCTACCCTACTCTACCCTACTCTACTCTACTCTACCCTACTCTACTCTACTCTACTCTATCCTACTCTACCCTACTCTACTCTACTAGAGCTGCAACTAACGATTATTTTGTAATCGATTAATCTATCGATTATTTTTACGATTAATCGAGTAATCGCTTGGCTGTGAATTGTGTAG